TGACTGTGGTTGTTGTGGTGTGTTGTGTTTGTTGCTGTTGTTGTTGTTGCTGTTGTTGATGAAGGACGTCCACAGCACGGTGGTTCACCGTCACTGGCCGTGAGCAACTTTGACGACATCTGGGGAAAAGAAATGCAGTCGTGTTTTTTGGGAGCGAGTCCCTAATGCGTGCAGTGGAGCGACTTCCTGTTTTGGCAGCCGTTCTGTTCCAGTTTGACGTCTTTACTTTTACAAACATTTGTATTTATCATCAGGGTGACGTGAGATTTATGACGTCCAAGTGATGGACCGCACCGGGGGACGGTGATGCTTGTACAGGAAGTTGTTGTTGTTGACGTTCGGCCTCATCATGTCAGTGTGTGTGTGTGTGTGTGTGCTTTGTTTTAGTCAGGTTAGCGTGTTTACATGTGAGTCGGGATTAAGACGGACTAACAAAGGATTAGGAGTGACCAGGACAATAATCCAGTTTACTGTTGTCATGTGAACACACACACACACACAGACCGTCCGTCCGTCAGTCTGTCATCGTCCTGCAGACCAAATAACAGTGCGGTCTACACAGTAGGTCTGGTTTGTTTCCACTGCTCCACCGTTCCAGCTTCACTCCCGATCATATTTCCCAGAGGTCATTGCAGTTCGAACATGTTGAAACTTTCAGATTATTAAAACAATGACAAGCCACACAAATGTGGTTGACGTTGAAATGTTAGTCATTTGACATCGAGGCCTCCTTCACACACTGCCGGGCGTTCCGGGCCATTCCGGTAAAAAAAGCCGACATTTGAGTCGAACTGTTGTAAAAACATTTTTTTAGTTTTTCGCTTTTTTAATTTATTTTTTCTTTACTTTTTTTTTGGCTCAAAAGTTGTTTATATGCAGCAGCTCTGGTGTGAGCGATGCTACTATCAGTGTGTGTGTGTGTGTGTGTGTGTGTGTGTGTGTGTGTGTGTGTAGCTGCACATGCTACGAGCTACGTGCTGGAAAACAATGGGAATTCTCCAGTGAGACCAGTTCTTCTAATGAGACAGATGGGTCCAGCCTGGAGTTAGCTACCAGTTAGTCCAAGGGCTTTGTGTGTGTGTGTGTGTGTGTGCGCGCGTGCGCTGGGTGTGTGTGTTTAAGGTGTTGTTTTCCTGTTCCTAGCCTGCAGGCTGAATCACAGAGAAGCCACAGATGTCTTATTGACACCAATTAGTTTCTCTCTCATGGCACACACACACGCACACACACACCTATGTAGTGTAAGTGGACAAACACACACACACACACACACACATCTGCTGTTGTGACTAAAATGTTTGATTATTTAAGGTTGTGTTTCAAAGTGGAGGATCTCAGTCCAGTTGAGAGCAAACGGCTGCCGTTCACAGCTCACCGACCCGGCAGTTTGATGTCTGCTGGCTGGTGTAAGAGTGTGTGTGTTAGTGTGTGTGTGTGTGTGTGCGGCGTGTGTTAAACTACAGAGTCTGCGAGACAGGACTGAACACATCCATTAGCTAATGGATCCCTGCTCTTGTTTTGTGTCTCCTCTTCTTTTATCCCTTCTCGTCTTCCCTCCATCACCACATCACACTCCTGCTGCACTTAATGTGATCAGGAAGAAACACACACACACACACACACTCACACACACACTAATCCATCCCAAAGATCTTTATTTACCCAGGCTGAACACGCTGACTCCTTGGGTCCGGCCCTGGTCTCAGATCAGTTTGAACGTCACCGTCACAGCAGCCCAGAACAGTCGAACTCAGACGCCGTTCTGTCGTCGTCGTCAATAATCTATAGGAGTGGAACATGTATGTTAACGTTACAAAGGTCTAAGCTGTGGATGTTCAGATTGTACGGTGGTTCTTAAAGTAGGGGGCGAGCTCCCAGTGGTGGACGCGCAGCTCGTAGTCTGTTTTTAATCATTTTCTTCACGGTGAGAAATCGTGTTTTACTTCTTTTGTACAGTGAGAAACGATGTTTTGTTGGAGTGTTACGTATTTTTTAACTTGATCTACAGAAAGGGGGCGCCACAGAAAAAGAGTTTGTTACATGAAATGGTTAAAAAGCTAAGCTAAAACAGAAAAAAAAGATGTTTTTTGTCAGAGTTGTTTATCTTTGATTCCTCACTTTCTCGAGAAACTTCCCATAAAACCCCGAGGACTGACCTGAGTCCTGGTTCTCACACCGCGGCGCGCTCTTTAAAGGGCTGATGCCGACATTTTAATAAGAAATGAAACTGAAGTGAAAACAAAGTTTTCTCTAACAGATACGGATCAACTCTCGGTTCAATTCCCAGCTTTATGAAAGAGAGTTATGTTGAGGTCAGAGCCCACGACCTCTCACAAAGGCAGAGTCAATTTTCTAGAACTTTTCTGGATTAAGTCCAGGACAATATAATTATAAATTTACATTGGCAATTTTTCTAAAAACCTTTTCCCAGCCTGCTGTTATTTCTGAGCTAACTGTATATTTTTTTAGCATTTTTTTATTATATTAAAACTACATTGAATTTTTTTTTTGGTCAATTGTTCCTTTGAGTTTTGTTTCTAGATGTTTTGACTTTTATTTTTCACCTCTTTAGTATAATTTTATTATTTTTTAAGACATTTATTTTTTGCTGACTTTTGGCATTTTCTGTGCTAGCTTCAAGGCTAACAACAGTCACGTTGCCGTACTTTTTTTAACTAGAATTTCTCTGAAGAGCTTCATGAGTTGAACATTAATTTTTAACTTATTATAAAGAATGATTTATTGTCGTAAAACTCTTCCTTAAACTGTTCAACAACGCTGAGAAGTTTGAGATATTTTTTAGCGTCAGACGTTAGCTCTGTCGCTTCAACTCTTTCCTGTGAGTAAAGATACATTTTAGACCAGATTTATCAGCCTGACGTGTGAGTTTTTGATTTTTAAAAACCAAATTATTTTGGGGTGGAGACCTGACGTGTGAGTTCCTGGTTTTAAAAACCGAATTATTTTGGGTGGAGTGAGGCGCCGTTAACACCAGAGCTTTACCGTAAAGGAACAGAGACTTCTAGAATGTTCACCAGTGGGAAAGGCAGAGATGGAGGAGATAAGATCTACTGTCCGATCAGCAGCTGTGTCTGAAGGAGAATCTACGTCAGCACGGGGTTAGACAGAGGGAGGAAACAAGAGTGAGGAGCCGAGCAAGATGGAGGTGAAGTCACAAAAGCACAGTGTAAGTGGATGAGGATGAGGAAGGAAGATGATCAGATGAAGAACAGTGATAATGTGTGAACAATAATTTACATTCATGCATTTAACTCATCCAACTGACAAAGAGCTGATGAACAATAACATGTTGGAGCGTGTGTTCATGTGTGTTCATGTGTGTGTGTGCTGAAGTTCAATGATGCCACTCCACAACCACTTGTATCACACACTCTCACACATATTCAAACCAATTCTCACACACTCTCACACACACTTATCCCCACTCACTTAAGTGGAGGGTTCTGAAATTGAGCTGGGACTTGGAACCAATGCTCCAAACAATTATTGTTCTCTCCTGCGTCAAGTAATCCATTTCCCATGAATATATTCACGTCTCCATCCTCCCCCTCCTTCTCCATCGTCTCCTCCTCCTCTTCTGTTGCACATTATCACCTCCCTCCCTCCCTCTCCCCCCTCCTCCCTCTCACAGGTGAGGCTCTTCTCCCCTCGGGCTTCGGCCAAAATGTGACATCACAGCAATCAGACGTTTGATTTACGGCCGCGGACGCCTGTCAGTCCAGACTGAGGAGAAAAGAAATCCCAGATCATAATATAATCATTTTCATCTTCACTGCTGCAGTTGGACTGTTTTTAAAAGTGTTTTTTTTTTTTAATTCTAAACTCAGTTTTATTCAGACGCAGTCAGATTATGAACCAGGATTACGGTGGATTAAGACAAACATTATTATATTTTAAACGAACAGTAATTAATGTATTTGTAATTTTATTTATTTTTAATTGTTGTACTTAGGAATGGGCATTGATCGGAATTATTGATCACTGATTCTGATTCTGATCATCCATTGATTTGATTCCTTAGTGGTTTTCTGATTGGTTCCTGTTGGATTAGGAAATCAAATATGGTACAAATCTTTTTTTTTTGCATTAACTTTAATGTAAAGTTTTCATTTTTATTGCGACATAATTAAACCATAATTATTTAAAAATCCTCTGCAGAAATAAACACAGCAGAATGTCCAGTTTTACAAACTCCACGTCGACTCATCAGTACCGTCGTCACAGCATATAAAAGACGGCAACATCAGGGAAACGAATATCGTGGTTTGTGGCTAAATGTTTCCACGTGTTGTAGGAATTCCCTCTGGAATTGTTAAGCGTTCCAATTTCTAGGAATTGGACAACTGGGATTTCCATCCCTGGTGGTACGCTCTGTCAGTTTCTTCTCTTTTTTTTTTTCATATAAGATCTCACTTTTTTTGAACTCTTCTGACCCTCTGTGATGTGAGGTAGGACATGGT